ATATAATGATATAGGAGATACATGGAATGATAACAGGTTGGATATATAATGATATAGGAGATACATGGAATGATAACTTGTTGGATATATAATGATATAGGAGATACATGGAATGATAACATGTTGGACATATAATGATATAGGAGATACATGGAATGATAACATGTTGGATATAACTATAATGATATAGGAGATACATGGAATGATATCATGTTGGACATATAATGATATAGGAGATACATGGAATGATAACATGTTTGATATATAATGATATAGGAGATACATGGAATGGTAACATGTTGAATATATAATGATATAGGAGATACATGGAATGGTAACATGTTGGACATATAATGATATAGGAGATACATGGAATGATAACATGTTGGATAAATAATGATATAGGAGATACATGGAATGATAACATGTTTGATATCTAATGATATAGGAGATACATGTTATCATTCCATGTATCTACTATATCATTATATATTCAACACGTTACCATTCCATGTATCTACTATATCATTATATATCAAACATGTTATCATTCCAAGTATCTCCTATATCATTAGATATCCAACAAGTTATCATTCCATGTATGTTATCATTTCATGTATCTCCTATATCCTGATATATCCAACATGTTACAATTCCATGTATCTCCTACATCATTATATATCCAACCTCTTATTATTCCATGTATCTCCTACATCATTATATATCCAACCTGTTATTATTCCATGTATCTCCTATTTCATTATATGTCCAACATGTTAGCATTCCATGTATTTCCATGTATCTCCTATGTCATTATATATCCAACATGTTAATGTTCCATCCATGTATCTCCTATAACATTATATATCCAACATGGTATCATTCCATGTATCTCCATTATATGTCCAACATGATATCATTCCATGTATCTCCCCTATATCATTATATATCAATCATGTTATCATTCCATGGATCTCCTATATCATTATGTATCCAACATGTTATCGTTCCATGTATCTCCTATTGCCTTATATATCCAACATGTTTTCATTCCATGTATCTCCATTATATGTCCAACATGTTGTATCTCCTATATCATGATATGTCCAACATGTTATCCTTCCATGTATCTCCTATACCCTTATATATCCAACTTGTTACCATTTCATGTATCTCCTATATCCTTATATATCCAACATGGTATCATTCCATGTATCTACTATATCATTATATATCCCATGTATCTCCTATATGATTAGATATCAAACATGTTATCATTCCATCTATCTCCTATATCATTAGATATCCAACAAGTTATCATTCATATGTCCAACATGTTAATGTTCCATCCATGTATCTCCTATAACATTATATATCCAACATGGTATCATTCCATGTATCTCCCCTATATCATTATATATCCCATGTATCTCCTATATTCTCATGTTATCATTCAATGTAGCTCCTATATCATTATAGGAGATACATGTTATCATTCCATCTATCTCCTATATCATTAGATATCCAACAAGTTATCATTCATATGTCCAACATGTTAATGTTCCATCCATGTATCTCCTATATGATTAGATATCAAACATGCTATCATTCCATGTATCTACTATATCATTATATATCAAACATGTTACCATTCCATATATCTCCTATATCATTAGATATCCAACAAGTTATCATTCATATGTCCAACATGTTAATGTTCCATCCATGTATCTCCTATAACATTATATGTCCAACATGTTATCATTCCGTGTATCTCCTATATCATGATATGTCCAACATGTTAATGTTCCATCCATGTATCTCCTATAACATTATATGTCCAACATGTTGTATCTCCTATATCATCATATATCCAACATGTTACAATTCCATGTATCTCCTACATCATTATATATCCAACCTGTTATTATCCTATATCATTAGATATCCAACATGTTATTTATATATCCAACATGTTACTTATCATTCCATGTATCACCTATATCATTATATGTCCAACATGTTGTATCTCCTATATCATCATATATCCAACATGTTAATCTCCTATATCATTATTTATTCAACATGTTACCATGTTATCATTCCATGTAGCTCCTATATCATTATAGGAGATACATGTTACCATTCCATATATCTCCTATATCATTAGATATCCAACAAGTTATCATTCCATGTATGTCCTATATCATTATATATTCAACATGGAATGGTAACATGTTCGATATAACTATAATGATACAGGAGATACATTGAATGATAACATGAGAATATAGGAGATACATGGAAAGATAACATGTTGGATATATCAGGATATAGGAGATACATGTAATGATAACATGTTGGATATTTAATGATATAGGAGATACGATATAGGAGATACATGCAATGATAACATGTTGGATATTTAATGATATAGGAGATATATGGAATGGTAACATGTTAGACATATAATGATATAGGAGCTACATTGAATGATAACATGAGATACAGGGTGTAGATACATGGAATGATAGGAGATACATGGAAAGATAACATGTTGGATATACAATGATATAGGAGATACTTGGAATGATAACATGTTGGATATACAATGATATAGGAGATACGATATAGGAGATACATGTAATGATAACATGTTGGATAATAATGATATAGGAGATCCATGGAATGATAACATGGTAACATGTTGAATAAATAATGATATAGGAGATACATGGAATGGTAACATGTTGGATATAACTATAATGATATAGGAGATACATTGAATGATAACATGAGATACATGGTATGTTAACATGAGTTATCATCTATATACTACTTTATACTACCTACCGTTAGCATTATAAATTCATTATTATGGGTTGTCAGTATGAGAATACTCAAGAATGGGTTAAAAACAACTTGAGAAGAACTTGATAAGAACTTTGGAACGGAATTTCCCATTTCCCAGCACTTGGGAACGTATTTTCTCAAAAGAGAATGTCTGCTCGCGCCTGGTGACGTCATGAATAGGAACTACTTTTCCGTATGTTAAAGGTCAATTTTATTACGAGGTCATCTTTACTACGAGGTCAACTTTGCTACGTCGGATCTGTTCGTATGCTAGTACGAGTCAGAACGTACTGTTTTGAAAGATCTGGTAAGTATTGAACATGAAAATGAAAAAGAAAACAAACTAATGACATTAGATGAAGAAATCTTCACACAGAGGAGCCATAAACGTTTTTGAGAAACGACTAAGCTGACCAGACAGAAATTATAGCTAATACACAGAACAGGAACACTGTCAGGCAGATGATGAGTTCAGTGAACATGTTTAAAACCCATGGAAAATGTCCACTAGAATGATAAAGAAATACAGGGTTTGGACTTTAGGACTCTTGACATGTACTTGGCAAGGTTTTGCCTTGGAATTAGAAAGAGAAAATCTGGGGCAGGTGAAGACTAGGAGCCTTCAATTTTAATTGGCCATGCATCAATGATCAAGAGATTCCCTGAAGGGAAGAAGTACAACAAGGACATTAGTAAAGACATATAATGTAAACACTCACAAGACACATTGAAGGCCAAGCTGATCCAACTGAAGAAGCAAGGAAAAGGCAACCTTCCCAATGCATCAGACCCACTGACATCATGGACACACATCAGCTAAAAGATCAAAGAGTGTTAGCCATGCTGATCCAGAAGGCCTTATGTACACATTATACTTACATAGTTATGAACAATTTGGAATAAGAAGAGCAACAGAACATCCTAACTTTAGATGGGGACACATTACACTGAAGAATTTAAATGGTCAGGAGATTTTGGAACACACCAGTGAGCGTCAGACAAAGACTTTAGGTAACCAGCAGGTGTTAGCTGAGGGATCGGTGTTGTCACCCCGACCCGGGGCACAGCCGTCCCCCATGCCACAGCAAATACGACTACCAAATTCAGGTATATATGAAGCTTTTCTTATTATATGCTATGAGACGTGATGTATATCTTAATAGTTTTCAAACGAAACATTTATTTTAAGATTGAATTATCCTTATGATCAGTCACAAATGTAAACGATAATATGCAAATGGAGCAGCGAATGGTAATGCTATATTTCCAGTAAAGTGCAAGTTCATTGTATTCCTCCACGCGAAAACACTTGTATTTGTTGGCATTTGTCGGAGAACTTACCTGAACTAGCGGTCCGTTGAAAGATGCATTGTACGGGGTTTAGTCGATTTTTTTTGAATGGTGAAACATACTAGGTATTAGTATATAGATGATAAATAGATTAGCACACTGTGTTCTCAGGGTTTGTCGTTCAAACAATTTTCTCATCGCTCGCACGTGGATAAAATCTCGAATCCGCCTCCGGTGGCCTCTCGATTTTATCCACGTGGTCGAGATGAGAAAATTGTTCTCACGACAAACCCTGAAAAAACAGTGTGCTAATCTATAAATATATGATGTGATTATATAAGATACATGGTATAATAACATGAGATATATGGTATAAAAACATAAAATATATGGTATGAAAACATGAGAAACATGGAATAATAATATGAAAAACACGGTATAATAACATGAAAACACGGTATAATAACATAAAAACACGGTATAATAACTAAATATGCATGGTGTGATTACATGATATGCATGGTTTGATAACATGATATGCATGATGTGATAACAGGAGATACAGGATGTGATAACATGATATGCATGGTGTGATTACATGATATGCATGATGTGATAACAGGACATACAGAATGTGATAACATGATATGCATGGTGTGATAACATGAGATACAGGGTGTGATAACATGATATGCATGATGTGATAACATGAGATACAGGGTGTGATAACATGATATGCATGATGTGATGACATTATATGCATGGTGTGATAACATGAGATGCAGGGTGTGATAACATGAGACACAGGGTGTGATAACATGATATGCAAAGTGTGATAACATGATATGGATGGTGTTATAACATGAGATACAGGGTGTGATAACATGATATACAGGGTGTGATAACATGATATGCATGATGTGATAACTTGAGATACAGGATGTGATAACATGATATACAGGGTGTGATAACATGATATGCATGATGTGATAACTTGAGATACAGGATGTGATAACATGATATACAGGGTGTGATAACATGATATGCATGATGTGATAAATTATTAAACCTACACAGAAAGTAACGATGGTCTTACTTTTTAGATCTTAAGTAGATTTCGAAAACAAAATTTCCTTGAACATAGACGCCGTTTCATCAGTGCCATGTGAGCTAAAATGTGAGAAATGAAATATCGAGTATAACTTGAATTAAACAAAAATCATATAAACATCATAGAAATGTTGTACACGTTTTTAACTATGTAGACGGATGGACGCGCGCAGCCGCAGACACACAGGCGTACTAACATAGCCATTAGTATAGGTCAAGTAAGTATACGATTGGGATTTACCGTCCTAGCAACAGCCAGGTTTATATGAAGTCTATTGACTAGAAAATTACCATTGGAATGAGATTGATGTCAAAGAGTTTGGTACAGAAATTACCGTTGAAGTCATACTATATGTGAATTCCATGATTTGTTAATGAGGTGAACATTATCGTCATACAGTACGTAAATGTCAATACATTTGGTAGTAAAGTGACCATTATTGTCATATTCGGCCATCATTGTCATATGGTAGGTAAATGTCATACAGTTTGGTAGTGAAGTGACCATTATCGTCATACTGTACGTAAATGTCAATACAGTTGGTACTAAAGTGACCATTATTGTCATACTGTACGTAAACGTCAATACATTTGGTAGTAAAGTGACCATTATTGTCATATTCGGCCATCATTGTCATATGGTAGGTAAATGTCATAGAGTTTGGTAGTGAGGGGACCATAATTGTCATACTGTAGGTAAGTGTCCCATCGTAATTTCCGTTATTTAAGTAGGTTTTAGCCTTCAAAAAACGTACAATACATACAACTGCAGTAGTAACAGAACCATCAGGGGAGCTGTTAGACGTGAATTTGATGTTCATGTAAGGGAAACAACTCCCAAATATCTGGACTTGTTTTGATTATATTTTTTCAAACGCACATTTGACTGTATTTAAGTTAATATAAAGTATACATCAAGGAGACAGGGTAAATGTCGTACTAGTGATCGAAACGTGCTATATAAACTAGAATACAATCTATTTCTACCAACCTGGGGAATTGTTTAGAAATATTACACTTATCTAATACATGTATAAATATTGGTTACATGCACCAGGAATTTGTCTTCCGCGTACGAAACGCCTTTCACATTAGTACATAATTATGTTGTCAGTTTTAAATTATACTTCT